ATACTTAAAAAAGTATCGATACCAAAATGTTGTATCCGGATACGATACTCATTTTCAAAAGTATCGATGTACAATAAGTCCAAACAAGTTTGACCAAAAAATATTTATTTCTCACATTTATGAAGGCTGGAGGGTTAGAGTTAGGGTTAGGGTTAGGGCCATTAATGTGAACCACCACTCACGATAACATCAGTAACAGGTCAGTTTTAAACCAAAGACACTTACCTGTCAAAATTCAGTTAAATTTTGGGGTATTTGTTTTTATCCTTGTGGTATCGAGAATGGTATAGAGTATCGAGTATTTTCCTGAGTATCGGTATCGAGGTGAAAATTTTAGTATCGTGACAACCCTAGTCACAACCAGATACAACAACTCAACGGCTGAAGCTGCTCGTGGGACCTCTGTGTCCCTTAAAGTTTGACGTCTTTTTTGAAAAGAGCTCTTGTATTTCACTGCCACACTAAAAAACTATACATCGTCGTCTCCCTTTAAAGGGAATCTTCATAGTTATTCACAGCCTCAAACCAGTTTTTCCTCTTGTCAGATGACAGTTGAAAATACAGAATCGTCCGGTTCCACTTTTCTCTTAGTTCCTACAACACAGCGGCCAGAATATTAACAGGCTGTTACCAATTACACTGAGAGGGGAAAAAGAAAAGGAACCCTCATTTGCTAATGACCATCGGGGGACCTTGATGTTTAATCAGCTAAGTGAGAGAGAAATATGTCTCACAGCTGACATCAATTCCAGGAGTGGTATTTTTGTCCCAGAGGCTGTTTCTAACGCTGTTCTGCTGTTCCCCGAGAACCTTCAGCCTGCCGTGCTCTCCTTCTGGTGTCCCTGATACATAAGAAAGCCTTAGTGTGATATATCTGCAATGTGCTTTTAGCTAAATGCAAACAGCTGTTAGTGCGAACTGCACACGCTGTTGTTGTTCAGTTCCATAACTTTTATCCATAAACCTGAGAACAAACCAGAGTAGATCAAAAGTATAAAAAATGGCATTTATTAGGTCACAGTTAAGTATATCAGCTGGGCTCTAACAGACAAAAACCTCTCTCTGGGTCTCAGTGGGCAAAGAGATCTGGGTGATGGGCATTATCTCCTGGGCTCCATCCGCCTCCTCAAAAGAGGACTGGACACAACCAAAGTCCTATTGGCCAGTTACCTCTGATCATGAACAAGCCAGGTCCTAATTCATGTTGATAACATTGGAATGTGGTAAAAAAAAAAAAGGTGTGTGTTTGTGTTGACCTAAAGACGTGGATCTAATGCAACAGAGAAAGAAAAAGAGAGAATAGAGAGTCTGTGGTCACAGCCAGAGACTTCAACACAAAATATAGTTCTAAAAGAAAAGAAAACAACAGAAAAGAATAAGAGAGAAAGGAAGCACAAAATATAGTTATAAAATAAATATAAATATAGTTAATCCTAACCCAGGAGAGCGAGAAGGAGAAGGAGAAGTCATCGCTAGCTGCTGAGCTACAGTCGCTAAGGGCTAAGCTAAAGTACGTCGGGGTTGGCTACCATAACTTTGATTAAAAGAGCTATAAGATAAAACAGCAGTAACATGTAACACACCTTTTGTAGCTGGGATCTGACTCCCAGGTACAAAAGGTAGCTTGTGTTACAGTGGAGACGAAAAGGCAGTAATTTACACAAGATCAGGTGATAGCATACAATGCTAATGGTCAAATTCTAACAATCGGCTCAGCTGAGTGATTATTTTAGTGGTCATCTGTATGTCTGTGCACCTTTTAACTTATTGGCTGCCAAAGACGTCTATAGACGTCTTTTATGTTTTTCAACGCGAGTGGCTTGGGGGACGATCTGCTAAAGCTTGTCCGTAAATATCAGGCTTCTAGACAGAGTATGTAGTAACAAATTGACCCTCTAGGTGGCAGTGCCACTTTTGATGGGAGATGAGCATAGACTGTAGGCAAATAAGAAAAAGGTAACGGTTCGCTATGAGAGAAATGGCGCTGGTGAGACGCAAGTCGAGGAAGAACAGAATAAGGTAGAAACAATTTTTTTTTCCTGATGAAAGAAGAGAGTCTACTCTTTCTTTTGGTGTGTTTGGTGTTTACATAGTCATAGCACAAACTATTCTGTGGCTCTTGAAAAATCTGTCAAAATGCTCAAAAAAACTCTGTCAGTATGGGACTCTCTGTTCTGAAAATGGCTGCCAGTCAATGAGTTACTGATGTCCTCCAGTGTATTTGCTGACCGTGTGCTTGTCCCCCCCCCCAGAGCTGCTGGAACTGCGGGCGTAAGGCCAGCGAGACGTGCAGCGGCTGCAACACGGCGCGCTACTGCGGCTCCTTCTGCCAGCACAAGGACTGGGAGAAGCACCACCACGTGTGCGGCCAGACCCTCCAGGCCCAGCAGCAGCAGGGTGGGGGGGGCCCCCAGCAGCAGCAGGGTGGGGGGGGCGGGGGGGGCGAAGCCCCGGCGCCCGTCAGCTCCTGCACCCCCAGCAGCGGCACGGGGAGCCCCGCCGCCACGCCGCCCGCCGCCACGCCCCGCTCCTCCACCCCCAGCACCCCCTCCTCCTCCTCCGCCCTGGACGGAGCTACGCGCTAACGGACGCGCTAACGGACGCGCTAACGGACGCGCTAACGGACGCGCTAACGGACGCTAACACGCCGATCTCCATCGCCTTAGAAAGACGCAAAACACGGCCAAAACAGGCCTGTGCGTTAGCCTGAGAGGGGAGAAGACGAGGTCCATAAATCGGGTCATATTGACTTGCCATTGACTTTAAAGAAACGCAAAGATATTCTTTGTTTTGAATTTACGAACCGAAATATTAACGTCTTTTACGGCTACACTTTCGCTATATTCTCGTTGTCCGTTTTGCCGTCGTGTCTGTTTCCCCGTGGATCTTGCCGTCATCGTAGCTTATCTTATTTCCGTCTGTAAATATGAAGACTCTGAGCAAAGATAGTCGTGAAATCGAGAGAAATATGTCTGACCTTCGCTTTTTTAAGTGTCTTTTTTATTTTCAATTC